CCGCCAGTCTACTTCCGGTTCCTGTGAGCATCTGACGTCACTTCACTTACTTGACGCGTTATGTCATCGACTTAATCATAAGGGATTCGATCGTCAGACAAGGAAGTTCTATTTATACTCCTCCTCTACATAGCGCCGAAACACGCACCGCCATGTTAGAGAGGGGAACAGTGCCCTTACTATCCGGCATATGCTCAGAGGAATAAAACAGCGGAGAATCTTTGTACACATATAGCGCAATGCCCTACAATAACCATAATAACATAGCAATCCTATATACACAATAATATAAACTCATCTGACTATATGTCCTTACTAAGCTCCATATATATCAGTGAGTATGAAGATTATTTGTCTATTAGTATCTATATAGCACAATGCCCTACAGTAACAATAATAACATAGGATTCCTATGTACACATTAATATATAGTCATCTGGCAGTATGTCTCTACTGGGCTCCATATCTATATATATATATATATATATATATATATATATATATCTCTATATCTATATCAGTGAGTATGAAAATTAATATAGCTATATACATACATAATAACTAATATGATTTTAAAATTTCATACATAATACCTTTTTATAAGTTTAAAATTTCATACAATAGACTACTAATTCATATAATGGAATATTGATTATTAAAAAAGGAACTTTACCTAGTCTGAATCCATCCAAAAGTTATGAATTTTAAAAAGAACTAAAATTATATTTTTAAATCTATAAAATTATAAATTCATATACAGTATAGCATCAAACTATTCTACTAAAAATAATTTAGAATTATAAAAATCAATTTACATACTAAAATATTTTTTAGAATTTTATTAATTATATAAAATATTATAAAAATATTAAATGTTTTTATAATTAATTCCCCATACACTCCAATCTTAATAATCATTCATTGTTACAGCCCACATTAAAAATTAGAAATAAAACAATTCAGATCCAGATCTACAGTCAAACCCCTAGGTCTTAAAGTTTGTAGCTCATATAGCCAAAACATTTCGTTCTTTGAAATAGCCTTAATTTTATCACCCCCCTTCCAGTGTGTATCAATCCTATCGATTTCACTAAACGTTAAACCACTCGGGTCACAGTTGTGACAATCCCTAAAATGTCTCGATAGACAATGATCTTTTTTACCTTTTTTAATGTTCGTAACATGTTTACTTTTCTGTAACGGCCTCGAAGTTCTGCCTACATACTGAAGCCGACATGGACGTTCCAATAAATACGTAACGAAGGGGGTGGTGCAAGTAATAAAATCCTTAATATTAAAACTATTACCCATTCTACATGAAGTAAAACCTGAGATCACTCTTGTTTTAATATTGGTAACTTTACAAATACTACATTTTCTACGTGGATAAAAACCTTTAAAATCAAACATATGCTTTTACTTTTGTTTGGGAGGAGATATAATATTTTTTTACTAAAACATCTCTCAAATTTTTAGTTTTCCTATATATAAATGTAGGCTTTTCAGGAATATTTGGTCCTAAAACAAAATCTTTTCTTAATAAGGGCCAATATTTATAAAAAAATTGATTAAATTTCTTTATATTGGCTATTATAACCTGAAATAAATGCATATTCCACCCTTTTATTTTTATTTATGTTCTTTTTAGATTGAAGTTTACAGTTCTTGTTTCCTATATAACTTTTACTCACTTCAAATCTTGTCTTCTCCAATACTACAGGGCCATAACCTTTTTCTATAAATCTATCCTTAATGATCTCTGTCTGTTCAATCTTGTACAATTTCTCATGATTCTCAGAAATTGTCCCTTTGGTATTCCATTAATCCAAGTAGGATGGTGGCAGCTATTAGTAGGTATATTCCTGAAAAGCCTACATTTATATATAGGAAAACTAAAAATTTGAGAGATGTTTTAGTAAAAGCTTATTGATTAAAGTCTATCTATCTATCTATCTATCTATCTATCTATCTATCTATCTATCTATCTATCTATCTATATCTGGATGGAGCAAGGTGTATGGGGACACATGGAGCACTTTGGCTGATGAATCCAGGTAGTGCCGTGGAGGTTGCATATACCTTGTGGAGATCTACAGGAGGGCCATTTTTCACCATTTATTGGATTTCAATATAGGCGTGATTATTTTGGATTGTTGCTAAGGGTACACACTCCTTATTTTAATTAGAAGTGTACACTGTGTTAGTTTGCTTTTTGGGCACTGAAGAGTGATTCACATACACAGTGTTGGTTCACGGTTTGATTCACAGTTTTATTTTTCACAATTTTTCACTATTTTTTTCACTGCAAAGTTTTTTGATGGGATACTCACTAGAGTGAAGTCACCTGTTTATATACGGTTGATAAGAGATAATGCACTATGTGATATTTTTCTTTTTTTGAGGTAACACTTATCATGGAAATCATTGGGAGGATAATAATTTCTTTGGACGCATTTTTTTCATCGTGATTACACAGGAAGGACATATTTGTGTTTATATATATTTTTCTTGGTATTGTGGACTTTTTAGGGATTGGATTTCACTTGTATTGTGTTATTGAGGAGTTGATTTATAGCATATTCTGTATTATATTGTTTACATCGTCAGGGGTGAAGGTGTTGATTGTGCTGTGGGGGAGTTGAATTTGTGTATTTATTTAGGAAGTGGTATTATTTAAACACCTCCAGATAAAGCATTATTTGACTCCATTGTGAAAGCACAGGGTCCACCAGATCTGGTGAGTGTGGTCAAAACTAGGTCACTATAAGAAGAGAACTTTTTAAAAGAACTTTTAAAGAGCACCTGTCACTTTACTATGTGGTTTAAACACTGAGCACTTTGAGAAGAGAAAATGCATGCATATTCTGAATTGAAGTCAGTTGAAGGTTCATTGGGATGACACATTATCAATTTTAGTTATTTACACCGTGGAGTGCTGTATATCATTTTCTGTTTAGTACTAGCAACACACTTGAACAGCAGCACCAGCCATTATTGTATTTTTTATTCTCAGTTTAGAACTATAGTGCAGTTCATACTTTGGTTATATTTTGTCACAACACAGACCCTCCCTGGATCAGCCCATTGCTCCAAACTGGAAGAAAGAGCCAGGAGGAAACTGGTCAGAGAGGCTACCAAGAGACCTACAGCAACTCTGAAGCAGTTGCAGGAATTTATGACAAAAAGAGGTTATTGTGCATGGGTGTCACCCATCCTCTGGAACTCCCTGCCCCAACCCATCAGATTATCACCTACTCTCCTCTCCTTTAGGCGCACCCTGAAAACCCACCTCTTCAGGGAAGCCTACCCCACCCCCTGCTAACTTGCCAACCTCCTCCACTCTTCCTACCACCCCATCCCCCATAGCTATCTCTTCCTGTGCCACCATCCCCTCCCTCCTAGATTGTAAGCTCGAAAGAGCAGGGCCCTCGATCCCCTCATGTTTTGCATTGTATTGTTGTTGTTCTGTCACATGTTCTGTCCCCCTTTGTAATGTACAGCGCTGAGCGAACTATTGGCGCTTTATAAATATTGTATAATAATAATAATGTGACAACAATATCACAAATTCTGAGAGAAAAAAACTCAGTATATATATACCGCCATTTGTAAATGCAGTAACTTTCATGTAATTAATAAAGGCAGTATTACACTATCAGGGCATCCTCTGTCCTTTTTGGTCCTCATGAGTTTATACAGTTGTGTTCAAAATAATAGCAGTCAGACATCACTAACCTGATCAATCACTGTTTTTGGTAGAAATGATATTTCTACATGGCAAATAATTTACTAGCAGGTGTAGTAGAGTAATAGAAATCCAACAGACCCAACAGTCATGACATGCATGCTGCTGATTTTGTGTAATTAAATCACAAATTGAAAGGGGCATGTTCAAAATAATAGCAGTGTGGAGTTCTATTAGTGAGGTCATTCATTCTTTGAAAAAACAGGTGGCAATTATTGCCCTTATTTAAGGAAGGAAGGCAGCAAATGTTGTACATGCTGGTTACAGTGCATTTCTCTCTGTGTGAAGGAAAGACGGCCGCCACACATCTCTATGCCCTTGGAGAACCGGAGCGATGCCAATTCCCGTTCCGGCCATTATTTTATTTTCTTTTTTCTTTTTAAAGCACCAGATCAAGCTTTTGCTTTTTTTTTTTTTTTTTTTTTTTTTTTTTTTTGATGCAATGCTTATTGACCCCATATCTCTCCATAAAGAGGGCCTGTCACCAATTATTTCTATCAGAAGTGATGCATGCATTTCTTGTGATACGAATAAAAGTAATTACATTTTTTTTAAAGGAACAGTGCAAAAAAAAAAAACCCCCCAAAAAATTAAATACATTTTTTTTTTTTAAAGTTTAAAGTGCCCCCGTCCCCCCGTGCTCTCACATAGTGGTGAATGCATACATAGGCCACGCCCACATATGTAAATGGTGTTCAAACCACACATTTAAAAATTAATTTCAGGCTTTGTGACATTTCTCTTCCATGTGGTGCCATTGCTGACGGCATGAAATGGGAAGGGGATTTATTTAAGTCACGCCCTTTTATAATCCGCTGTCTGCTGGACACCTGTTAAATGAAAAATTCGACTCACCTGTAGTTGAATTTTTGTTAATTAGGATTTTGTTGTCTAAAATTTTAGCTTTGCTCATAAAACTTTCATTGGGGTGTATTCATTTTTGCAACATGGTCTTGAATGAATTTCTTAGGAAAAATACTTTTTTGTGTGCGTAAATGAACAAATCTTGTTTGCAATCAATGGCCCGCATTTTTGGGACTGTTCTGCAGTAATGTGTCCCATAGAAAATGTTGATTCTGAAAGGAAAGTAAATGTTTTCTGACAAATCTGTTGGGGTGTACTCATTTATGCTGAGAACTGTACATTTAACAACATGACATGCCATATACTTTGCTGTACATTATATACTTGACATTGCTCTACTTTATACATTTTTATGCTTTTTCAAGTTATTTCTAACAATATTGTCTTACAGGAAAAGAAACTCGGCAACGGACAGAATCTGCTTCAGAAGCCTTAGAGACAGACAATGTTGGAGAGCTTCAACATTTCCGCTCACGTTCCCGCTCTGCTCCATCTTCTCTAATGGTTGCAGCTCGTTATGGACGGGAGCTGAGACGAATGAGTGATGAATTTGACCAAATCTTCACGGTAAATGTTCCCATGCCTTTTTTATTATTCTGTATTTGTATAACATTTGCATATGTTGAAGCATTTACATTTGTCTCTGCTGTGGTGGAGCTTACAGTCTAATGCTGCTACCACAGTCATCCAGTCTCACACACTGGAGACAGTTTTGTTTGAAGCCTATTTAACATGCCAGTGTATTTTTTGATCGTGAGGGAAAAGCATGAGAAATTTAGGGTAAAATTGGATATTTTATGACAACATCACAGCAAATGCCTGAACCTGTTTATTTCAGGTACTTATATAGCGCCGTCAATTTATGCCACGCTTTAAATATATATTGTACATTCACATCAGTCCCTAACCCTCAAGGGGCGTACAATCTAAGGTCCCTAACTCACATCCATACATACACATGCTAGGGCCAATGTAGACAGGAGCCATTTCACCTACCAGCATGTCTTTGGAGTGTGGGAGGAAACCGGAGTATCCGGAGGAAACCCATGCAGGCACAGGGAGAACATGCAAACTCCAGGCAGGTGGTGTGTGTGTGTGTGTTGGTGATGTGTGTGTGTGTGTGTGTGTGTGTGTGTATGTTATTACCTCTTGCCTTTGGGATGGTAATTCATACACTGCTCCAATATCTGCAATGGGTTCATCTTTCTTTAAGTCTAATAGATTTATCCTTGATTTTTATTAAATACAGTTTCTAGATACCTTAACATCTGTTGCTTATTTACTTTAAACAGAACTTATGTTATTCAGCTAACTTTGGAAAGTAAAAAAACATGTTCGTTTCCATTGCATAATGTTTTTTCCTAAACTGCTCATATGACTCGCATGTCTCTGCCACCCTATATTACCTGATAAAGACACCACTATTCAGATCCTATAGCTGTCACTTCCCCTTTTTTTCATCCTGCTTGGAGGGCCTCACTAAGTAAGGGCCCTTTCTTTGCTCTTTCATTCTTTTTTTACCCAGTGTCTGAATTGTTAGGATTTCAATACAAACAAGTCTCATTATTAGCTTGGATTCTGGTGTGAATAGTGGATTATGGATATTTAAAACAAAGGTCAATTGCAGGTGATTATTCAGTATTCTCAGCAAAATTAAATAACTGCACTAAACCGTGTTTTTATTTTGCTTTGAATTCTACTTTTATTGTTTGTTGAATTTACTTTATTGTTTTCACATGCTAAAATCGTTTGCAGAAGATAATCATAGGATTGATTTTTCCATTCAGAGTCTCCCTCGACCTAAAAGTGCAAATGCAGCCACTCAGCTTACTGTTAGCAAGAGTTTTGGAGAAACATTTTTGAACTTCTTTAGAAGAAAGAACAAAGACAGAAGTGAGTCAGAAAATGATAAGCACTGACGATTTTTGTGAAGGATGAAAATACTGTGGTATGTATACTTAAAGTACTGTTATCATAATGTTACTGCATATTTTCTGCTGATCATATAAATATTTGTAAGTCTTTAATAAGAGGATGTAGTAAAACTTGAGAACACTTTCTGGCATCATTCACACGGGCGCTAACACCCATAGTCTGTTAATAGGTTGTGCCTCTAAGCCGCTGTAGCCACTGTGTGCTGCACATAGGAAGCCCATTTGTGTCTATGAGAATGTAGTGGACACCTCTGCTGATCCCAGTTTGACAAACTTGCGTATGAGCGGCCCCAAACGCAGTCTCCCAAAATTAAACTTTGCATGCATTCTGATATTGCATAGAGTTTTTCGCCTTGGATAAGAACTGCTGTCATAACCTGATGTATTTTTTTTTGCACTGTGTGTATGACTAGTCCACGGCATATTTGTGTTAATTCAAACTCCCTGACTATCTATATATATATATATATATATAACGACCAACAACGCCACCATCAGTCCCACCCCGCAAGCCAAAGTCCTAGGTGTCACTAGACTCAAAGCTGTCCTTCCAACCCCATGTCCAATCGTTGGCAAACTCATGCAGACTCCACCTCCACAACATCTCCAAAATACGTACGTTCCTAACCCCAGACACTACTAAGCAACTCGTTCATTCCCTTATTATCTCACGTCTGGACTACTGCAACTCCCTTCTCACCGGCCTACCCCAACACAGGCTATCCCCGCTTCAGTCTAACCTGAACTCAGCGGCCAGACTCATCCACCTTACCAACCGCTCCGCTTCTGCCACCCCCCTCTGTCATTCCCTCCACTGGCTTCCGATTGCCCAACGCATTAAATTCAAAATACTAACACTGACATACAAAGCCATTCATAACGCTGCCCCAAACTACCTCACTGACCTGATACCCAAATACCACCCAACCCATACTCTTCGCTCCTCACAAGACCTCCTACTTTCTAGCTCCCTGGTCTCCTCCTCCCACGCCCGACTGCATGACTTCTCCAGGACTTCCCCCATCCTCTGGAACTCACTACCCCAATCCATCAGACTGTCACCTACCCTCCTCACCTTTAGGCGCACCCTGAAAATCCATCTCTTCAGGGAAGCCTACCCCACCCTCACTTAACAGCTGATCTCCTCCAATCCTCCTACCACTCCATCCCCCTCAGCCACTTCCTCCTGTACCACTATCCCCTCCCTCCTAGATTGTAAGCTCGAAAGAGCAGGGCCCTCGAACCCCTCGTGTATTGTTTTGTTACTGTATTGTCTCATGTTCTGTCCCCCACTATAATGTACAGCGCTGAGCAAACCTTTTGGCGCTATATAAATACTGTATAATAATAATATATGGGCAGAAACAAAATCCACCCCAAAATTTGTAGTGACCTCCTTTTGTTAATGCCTGTGTCCTCGGCTGCTTAAATAAGGCCATAGGATGTGGTTTCTGTTTAAAAACAAAAAACACTACTAGATATAGTTTTGGCTGGCACTACAACAACAGACTCTGGGGAATTTATAACGGGTGTCCTAGGCACCTCTTTAGACTTCCGTCTGGGTGCAGAACCAAAAATAACAGTTGCTTGCTCTGATTCATATACAGTTGCAAGAAAAAGTATGTGAACCCCTTGGGATTACGTGGAGTTTTGCATGAATTGGGCATAAAATGTGGTCTGAACGTCATCTAAGTCACAACAATAGAAGAACACAGTCTGCTGAACATAATACTACACAAACATTAGATGTTGCCATGGTTTAATTGCACATAACATGTAAACATTCACAGTGCAGGGAGGAAAAGTATGTGAACCTTTGGACTTAATAACTGGTTGACCCTCCTTTTGCAGCAATAACCTCAACCAAACGTTTCCTGTAGTTGCAGATCAGACCTGCACAACGATCTGGAGTAATTTGGACCACTCCTCTTCACAAAACTGTTTCAGTGTAGCAATATTCTTGGGATGTCTGGTGTGAATCACTCTCTTAAGGTCATGCCACAGCATTTCAATCGGGTTGAGGTCAGGACTCTGACTGGGCCACTCCAGAAGGCGTATTCTGTGCTGTTGCAGCCATTGTTTTGTTGAATTACTTGTATGCTTTGGGTCATTGTCCTTGTGCATCACCCATCCTCTGTGGAGCTTCAGTTGGCGGACAGATGGTCGTACGTTTTCCTGCAAAATGTCTTGATAAACTCTGGAATTCATTTTCCCATCAATGACAACAATCCGTCCAGGCCCTGAGGCAGCAAAGCAGCCCCAAACCATGATGCTCCCTCCGGAATGTTTTACAGTGGGGAGGAGGTTTTGATGTTGGTGTGCTGTGCCTTTTTTTCTCCACACATAGTGTTGTGTGTTCTTCCCAAACAACTCAATCTTGGTTTCATCTGTCCACAGTATATTTTGCCAGTAGTGCTGTGGAACATCCCGGTGCTCTTTTGCAAACTTCAAACATGCTGCAATATTCTTTTTGGACAGCAATGGCTTCCTCCGTGGTGTCCTCCCATGTACTCCATTCTTGTTTAATGTTTTCCTTATTGTAGATGCGTCAACAAAAATGTTAGCATGTGCCAGAGATTTCTGTAGGTCTTTAGCTGACACTCTGGGATTCTTCTTTACCTCATGCAGCATTCTGCGCTGTGCTCTTGCAGTCATTTTTACAGGATGAAAACGCCTAGGGAGAGTAGCAACAGTGCTAAACTTTCTCCATTTGTAGACCGTCTGTCTTACCGTGGACACATGAACATCAAGGCCTTTGGAGATACTTTCTGTAACCCTTTCTAGCTTCATGCAAGTCAACAATTCTTGATCGTAGGTCTTCTGAGAGCTCTTTTCTGCGAGGCATGGTTCACATGAGACAGTGCTTCTTGAAACCAGTAAACCCATAACAGGTGTGTGTTTTTAAGGGCAGGACAACTGTCAGCAACACATCCAATATCATCACACTGATTGGAGTCAAGGTTGGCTCACTCCTGGCTCCAGTTAGCTCTGGGAGAAGTCATTAAGCTAGGGCCTCACATACTTTTTCCTCCCTGCACTGTGAATGTTTACATGTTATGTGCAATTAAACCATGGCAACATCTAATGTTTGTGTAGTATTATGTTCAGCAGACTGTGTTCTTCTATTGTTGTGACTTAGATGACGTTCAGAGCACATTTTATGCCCAATTCATGCAAAACGCCACGTAATCCCAAGGGGTTCACATACTTTTTCTTGCAACTGTACTTGTCACAGACTAGCACATCATTTTATCAATTCATGCACCGAGGTTGGAGAGTCCATAATGGACACTTGTTCCTCAGTGCTAGTCCTTCCCCTATCCTTGTGAGCAAGCCAGGGTTGGCTAAACACGTCTATGAAGGCTGGTTTTGGGTTGGCAACATCACTGTGTGCAGTCAATAGACTGATTATTAAAAATACCGCAAGAAGAGATAATTGGAGTGCGGATGATTTTTTTTTTTTTCCTATCTTCAGTGAAGTGTGGAGACAGACTGTGATGGCCAGTACCCAGGTTGTCCATGTGCAAGAGAAGCTTGTCTGGAGCTATGGATCTTTTTTTTCTGTTCTGCGTCATTGGTTGCTATGATGCGGGTAACCTTCGTCCTAGGAACCAGTGAAGTGAATGCAGAATACATTCAAACATATTAATAAAGCACTGAACAAACAACAACCTCCTTCTGTACACCAACGTTGAATCAATCACTGTTGTTTAAAAGACATGCACCAGGAAGATACACGTGCAGTGACTGCTCACAGCATAAAAACCTATAAACATACCCAGGCTATGATTGCTCTTACTACACCAGAGTAAAAATAAGTAAAAATACATTTTTTTTAAAAGGAGTGAAAATATTTGAGATAGCAAATAAATAGTGATATCATCCAAAATGTAATAAACAATAAAGGCTTCTGCTAAGATTGGGTTAACACCCTCTAAATCAAAATCAAGATGTAGGAACTCCAAGCACTGCCCTTTATAAATAAAATATAAAACAATATTGAGTGTCCAAGAAAAACATTTGCAATAAAATTCAATCAATAGTGCAGTTTATGGTGATATTGTTCAATATTCTTCCAAGGAGGTTAGTGCAAAGATCACAGTGCCTTGCTTCCCTCCTGTGTTTCCACACTCACCAATAGCTGTGGATAATATTAAGAGTCTAGTGCGCCCATACTGCAGATCTCTTGGTATTGCTGGGACTTGTATTCCTCCTTATAGATCGCTCCTCCACTGTGATAACAGGATTCAAAGGCTGATGTGCTCTTACATGATAAAGGAATGGCAAAAGGGGTCCTCATAGCATAATTCTATTTTTAATAAGAGAATCTAAAAAATAGGCTGCATTTGCATAAACTCTGAAGATAGTATACAAAGTCCAGATAGTACGAGAAATATGACAATTCAGAAATTGCCACCTTGGTTTGTCCTGGTGGGGGGATATCTTGCAGCCCCTTTAGGCATACTACCTGTGGGATTGGCTTCTGCTGATGCCTTTTTGTAAATGCAATGACATTATTAGTATCCAAACTCTGTTTGCTTTATACATCTGTATATATTTGCACGTTTATATTTGTGTGTTGCATTTTATTCTTTAGGTAGCAATCCAAACTATGCACCTTTTGTGCTCCCGAAGAAGCAGAATACATGAAACGTGTTGAGCCTTATGTGAATGGATGGTGGCAATATCTGAATTATCATATTTCTTGTACCATCTGGACATTGTATACCGTCTTCAGAGTATATGGCCACCATCTCAATCGACATAAGGGTGCAGGATGCTATTATGTTTTAAGTATAAATTGTTTTTAACTTATTTATTTTAATTGTGCATTAATAAGGATTGTTTATTTTATGATAATTTGGTATGGGGCCTATAAAGTCCATGTACTAATGTCCATTTTATGGTTTTTTTTTTTGTTTTTGTTTTTTCACTAATGTAGGGTAATGAGCACTTTATCTTTTCCATCCGCAGTGATTTAGTTTCCTCCTAGTTATTCATTTGCACTCACGTACAATAAAACAGAAAAGGCACAAACCGCCAAACCGGAAGTTCCACTGCCTGGATGTGACGTCACTGGAAGCTGCAAAAATACACGCCGGTGCGTCACTTCTGGTTCAGCATTTTGTGCCTTTTTTCTATTTTGATTTTTATGCGACTGCAACCTATTTTTATGTTCTCTTAATAAAAATGGAATTACGCTATGTGGACCCTTTTGCTATTCCTTTTTCATGTGAGAGAGCACATCAGCCTTTGAATCCTGTTATCATGGCGGAGGAGCCATCAATATGGAGGAAGACAAGTCCCAGCAATACCAAATGATATGCAGTATATGTACACTAGACTCTGTTGGTGAGTGTGGAAACACAGGAGGAGAGCACGGCCCTGTGATTTCTGCACTAACCTCCTTGGAAGAATATTGCACAGTTTCACCATAGACTGCATTTTTATTGCAAATGGGGTTTTTTTGGACACTCAATATAGAGAACTTTTATGTTGTTTATTTATAGAGGGCAGAGTTTTAATGTTCACAGAATACTTGTGATGGTTTTGGATAAATTAGGGAATGGTCAAAACCCTAGGGGGTTACATATACAAAAACAAGGAAGGGGGGGGTACTCCCTTCACTTACAGGCACACAAAGGGGAAATTTCCTCTGACTTAATTACAGGAGCAGGTCTCCCCACTAGAAGATCTCACCTCATCTTTTGTTGCTGTGACAGCTGTAAAACTTTGTATTTTCTATTGGTTTTTATTCCAGTGACAGTGATCACCAGGACAGATATAGAGTGAATTTCCTCAGCAGGGACACCAACAGCAGTTAAAGATTCACAGAGGATGTAACCCTTCTCTACTGTATCCCAAACCATTAACAATGATGGGAGAAGCAGTATAGTGATGAGCTCATCTGTCTGTCACAATGCTTTTCTCATCTTATCAGCATGCTCCTTGTCAGCACATGAACTGATTGCTGCCTTGCTTCTTCTTCATACATCAGCTCTGTTGTACAGGGACTGCAAGAGGCTGACGCTAGGGTCAAATTCAGATACTCACATTTCTTGCTGTTTAATGATTACAAAGCTGCATTAATTTGCATATTTTGTAATTGCTTTAAACAATGCTTTCATCGCTTGGATTTTCTAAAGTAATGTTTGCATGCATTTCACAAGCCATCGAAGAAAACAAAAAATAATAAAACCTTTTAGTAAGCTTGTGTTTTTCTGCAAATTGTTTTTATATATGTGTTTCATATTTTCTTTACAGCTGCAATACAGATGGTGGCGCTCTTCTTCTTTTTGGGTGCACATTGCTATTTATAGAAAGGAAAATGGACTTAACCACTGAACAGAAACCTTGCATGATGATTTGTGAGGTGGATTATGAAATGTGCCACATTATTTTGTTTTATTGTTAACAATTATACAAGAAATAATGCAATATTAAATCTGTATAGAGAAAAAAAGACTAACGTAAGCATGACATTGCCCAGCAAGCACCATAAGTTTACCTCACTTGTCCATTCAAGTCAATTGCCAAAGCCTCCCTAAATACCATTCAATCCAGATACGGAGCACACAGGATACTCCCTCCCCGATTCTACCCTGGGCATCTGAGCAGCCAATTGCCATATTCAAATGCTGTCTTGTACAGTGTGACTGAGCATGCTTAGCCCTGTCCTTATGGATTTTAGGGGGCACTGGCAGTGGATACCAGCCCAAGGTAAGTGTAAGTACCTTTATGGTGTCTGCTATACAGTGTGAAGAAATCTTTCATTTGTTTTCTCTATACAGGGTAAATTTAAATGAACAAAAATGATTTTAGAAGGGATGAAACATCAGAATAAAATGTGAACTTTTTATTGTTATAATGTTTTTACTTAGAAAAATAACAATTTGCAAGATTTTCATACTCTTTTTACTAAGCACAACTGTTGAAATATAAAGTAATAAGCATTTTGTAATATAAAATGTAAGGCAGGTAACCACTGCAATATTGTTTGAATTGAGCCAGGATAAACAACACTGTCTTGTGCCAGCATATTATATCATATGTTGGCCCTTTCTGGTGCTGAAATAAATGATTATATGCAAATGTGTTCTTGGTTGAGTCATTTTTCTTTGACCATATTTATATGTATAGGTGAGAGAAAAAGGTCTGTGTTAATCAGAGCAGAGATTTTCCTCTGCGCTGGCCTTTTTTCAAGCTGAGATTTGAAAATAGAAAGAAAAAAGAATCTTATTGGTTGCTATGGTGTTTTTCTAGTAAACTGGAACCTAAAGGGTAACTGGGAAAATAGCAAATAAAAAAAATAAGAGTATACAACTGCAACACAAGTAATGTTCTAGTTCAGAGGGCTCCAAACTTTCTAAACATAGGGCCAGTTTTACTGCCCTCCCAAACTTTATGGAGGGCAGAATGTGGCCAGTGGGAGTAAATTGTGTCAACTCTTTGGTAGTAGGGGGAGGCATAGTGTCCCATGGTTTGTGTCAGTGGGAGGAATAGTGCCCCATTGTTGGTGTCAGTGGGAGGAATAGTGCCCCATTGTTGGTGTCAGTGGGAGGAATAGTGCCCCATTTGTGTCCGTGGGAGGAATAGTGCCCCATTGTTGGTGTCAGTGGGAAGAATAGTGTCTCATTGTCAGGCAGGAACTATGTCCCACTGTTACTGACAGTGGGGGGAATAATCCCCCCACCCCAAGGGCCAGATAAAAACAGGAAAAGGGCTGCATATGGACCCTGGGCTGCAGTTTGAAGATCACTGTTCTAGCCGAATGATATTAAAAATTGCCGTTCCCTTTTAATCTGCAGAGCTGTAATTTCCTGTAAAAAGCAATGCAATACGGCAACCTGGGGGTTGGTGTACAGAACGCCACCACAAATGCCGTTTCATGCTTGTGTGATTGGCTTACTGATTTTCCCAAAAGTCTTCACTAACAGAAGTTAGATTTTAGGCATTCCCTGCAACAAAAATGGCATTTTTGTTGAGATACTCCCAAAGGGAGATCATGTCTAGAGGGATGTAGACCTTGCAATTTTCCTCATCAAAGCCCTGCAGGTTCAGCAGCTGATTGATAATGATAAAATATCTACTGTACAGATTCACTCTGCATATGGACATAGACAAAAAGACTTACTTCCTGTGCGCAAGAAAAAGTAGGAATCTGCAACAAAGTTTATTAAAATCCCTGATGTACATAAATCGCTCAAAGAGGAATGTTTTTTCTCAAACAGTAGAGTTACTCTTTAAGCCCAAATGAGCACTTATTTTTTTCCCAATGTTTGTTGTGGGTTTCAGCAGTAAGATCTCACAGTTTCAGGGCCTCCAGCCCTGCCAATGACAATAAGTGAGCTGAAATTCCGCAATTCACATTTGTTACCATACAAGTGTCCCTATTAGGGGTATACTCCTACTTTGTTTCTGATTTTGGGGAGTCTTTTCTTATTGCAGTGTCTCCCGGTCAGAAATCAAGGAGATATCTTCCCAACAAGTCCAAAATATCCCCAATATTTCCCAATAGGAAATATGTTTATTACTTAATAAAAACAGTAGACCACTTTTTAGACACTCTACTTTGATTTGGGGTGCTGCAAAGCTTGAAATGTTGATGATTTACTGTCACGCTGACAGCTCGAGAGGAGAGCAGAGCCGGTAATCGGCATTCCTCAGAGGGGACATGTGCACTGATCATCAGGGCACTGATGATCTGTGTAGCCCCACCAGTGCCACCTGCCAGTGCTCATCCATGCTACCTGCCAGTGCCACATATCAGTGCCTACCAGTGCACATCAATGCCACATATCAGTGCCCATCTGAGCTGCCTTTCAGTGTCACCCATCAGTGCTAGTCAGTGCAGCCTAACAGTGCCAGTCAGTGCCTTATGAGTGCTGCCTTTCAGTGTCCATCAGTGCCCATCACTGCAGCCTTATTAGTGCACAGCAGTGAAGGAGAAAAAAATCACTTATTTACAAAATTTTATAACAAAAACTAAATTTTCAGTGGTTTTTGGCTTGTTTAAGAAAAAAAAACCCAGAGGTGATTAAATACCACCAAAATAAAGCTCTATCTGTCTCAAAAAAATGATACAAATTTAATATGGGTACAGTGTTGCATGACCGCACAATTGTCATTCAAAGTGTGACAGAGCTGAAAGCTGGAAATTGGCCTGGGCAGGAAGGAGGTATAAGTGCCTTGTAGGCTAGTGGTTAAACAAGGTATTGCAAATACATTGCACTTAGACTCTAGGCTTTTCTTTTTTTTTTAACCTACCTGGGAATGGACAGTGGAGGGTCTTGTCGTGGTGAATGGTTCATGTTAGGAGAGGCGCTAGAGAACTGCAAAAATTATAAGAAGATGATTGAAAAATAAAGATTACAATTGTGACCAAATATATAATGAGTAGTATAATAAACAGGGAAATTAGTGGTTAATTAAGAACTAACATAACCGTCCTAATGCAGACAACGAAAAAGAGAAAAGATGGTGGAGGGTCACAGAAAGGGACCTGGATGCCATCACCCTGCAAAAGACACTTTACAGCCTGGCCTAGAGGAAAGAAAGAAAGAAAAGAAATGACAGAGAGGGGAAGAAATTGAATATAGCATAAAAGAAAAGGGTGAAACTAAAAGGAGTAGTTCTCAGATGCTGAAACCTAAGCCAGTTAATGAAGGTTTAATTAATTTTAGTGCATTTTTTCATAAAAATATGCATTTGATAAACAGTAACGTAAGTATCATGCAACAAAAAACCTACCCACAATTATTTTATTCTACAGGGTATCTGCTTTCAGAAAATATATGATGTTTGGGGGTTTAAAGTAATTTTGTTGTAAAAATTGCATATTTTAACGTGTTAAAAAAAATTAACAAATGACCCCGGTAAACGAGTGGTTAAGTAAGCTATTCCCAGTGATGCCACTTCCTTAGACCAGCTGTTATACTGTATATTTTTACTGGTCCAGGATACTGGAGCTTCTGGTCTGAGACCCCTCTTAGCCCTCTGTCCTTTCTCAGAAAAAGCTCCACATAGACCTGTGCTGTGCATCCTTGCCAGGAACCACTTGCTAGCTAGAGGTCTGTTTCTCGCTGACAAAATAGGTTCCTGTCCTTGCCTGAACTTCCCACACTGCAGGCCCCCAATATTCCAGGGAAGAGCTATATATAGCCCCTCTGTATAAAAAAGCTGGCTGCCCAAATCTTGAGTGAACCAATGGGTTCCCAAGATGGCGGCTGAAGTCCAGAGGAACCTTTGGTCCAATGTTGAACTTCACAAGTGCCAGTAGAAAGCAGAGGTCATATTATTGCTTGGCTTACTATTGCAACACAACTGGGAAGTGACAGTGCGATTGCTGCATCACTCACAGAACAACGAAGTGCTCTTCAGACTAGCAGCCCCAAGTGCTGCCACCTGCCTACATGTACACTCAGGTGCTATTTAGAACAGATGGCACAGCACCTAAACGATGCATTGTGATAAGGCACATTTTAACCCAGGGGTTTAACTTGCATTGCTGCACATGCATAAATGTAAATCTAGCCTTAAATGGAACTTGTAAGGACCCATTCATTTATAGCTGCTACAATATGTATATAAGTGTGAATTGGTTTTAAGATCTGCTAGTATTGATTGGCAGAGAAGGAATCGCCATAGTGCACAGATCAACTTGATGGATTCCAGCTATGGTTTACAACTTATCCGGAGTACAACTCCCACCATCATATCACCTCATAAAGAAAAGACTCCACGTGCATAAACTTTAAAACATTTTAATATTTCAAAATTAAACGAATTGTGCACTCACAAAAAAGGTGCCCAACCGCACCAGGTACAGTCAGCCTATAAACTATCCTTAAACTGAACCTCTCCAAAACCGAGTTTCTTGTCTTCCCCCCAGCCCGGACACCACCCCCCATTGACTTCTCCGTCACATCCAACAATGCCACCATCAAACCCGCCCTGCAGACCAGAGTACTTGGTGTCATTCTGGACTCCAACCTATCCTTCCAGCCCCAAGTCCAATCTTTAACAAACTCGTGCAGACTCCACCTCCGCAACATCGCCAAAATACGCACGTTCCTAACCCCAGAAACCACTAAACAGCTCATCCACTCCCTCATCATATCACGACTCGACTACTGCAACTCCCTCCTCACTGGCCTGCCTCGCCGCTGGCTATCCCAGCTTCAGTCGATCCTGAATACGGCTGCCAGATGCATTCACCTTTCCAACCGCTCCATCTCTGCCACCCCCCTCTGCCAATCCCTCCACTGGCTTCCGATTGCGCAACGGATCAAATTCAAAATCCTAACACTGACGTACAAAGCTGTCCACCATACTGCCCCGTACTA